CTCTTTACTACAAGGAGAATCTGCCACATTGCTTAGCTTGTGGCTCTGGAAGTCTTTGGTTAAGGCTTCATTCACAGGTATCTCTGCAATGCTATTTAGCACTGCAGAGGTACAGCAGAAGGTTTGGAGATGCATACATTCTTGCTCCCTTTTTCCTTCTTCTGCCTTCACTTTTACTGTATTTTCAAGGGACTGGAATCAGCAGCTCTCCAATAATCTATATTACTTGTTAAATCTATTTTAGAAAAAAGTGTTTTGCTTTCCACAAAATTAATGGAAGCATCACTTTCAAGATGGCTTCTTTTTATTGCTTTAAAAGCTGAATTTGGGAAGAAGCTCTGTTATTGAGGGGTGGGAATAGGAAAATGCTAATTAGAGCAACCCAAAAGCATCTGAGCTGGCAGCAACTTTCAGCCTGTGAACCTCTCAAAGCAGTAGCCTTGAATCACTCTTGCTAGCTGACAGATCGCTATTCAAAAGGGGCCCACTCTGATCTCCGTTCAGTGGAGGTTGTGCTGCTGATGCCTTATTTACAGAAGCGTAGATATGATAAGAAGTGAGCCCAGATCACTTCAAAGACTCAAAGGACATAGTCCACTCAGTTAATCTGCAATTCTAGGTTGTCCTTATCTCCTAACCCATACAGGGGACATTCCCACTCTCAGGCTTCTGCTGCGGTATTTCTGCATTGCTGCAGTTAATAAAACGCTACACTATAACACGAAGTCCAGGCAAGGTTATGACAAGGCAGATGCAGCTTTTTACTCCACTTCAGGGAATTAACAGCTGAGCTGGGGTATGAATATACAGTGAACGTAATTAGACTTTGGGAGAACATTGTATATGTCTCCACAGATATAAGCAGGGTATCTGGAAGTGCTTTCCTAAGTACTGTCCAGTCCATTATTATTCTCAGGAAATAGCGTTTCTTCTTGCGGAGGTCTGTAAGGAATGATGGTTAAGCGGCCTGTCTGTCAGAATAACCATTTCATCTCTCGTTCCCAATCCTGTTCCCATCTCTGCTTCTACCCAGATTCTCAGTAAATGTCTTAGTCACAGTTAAGTGACCGCAGTTTGGGAAGGCAGGTAGCAAAATAGGAAATGCTTTTCCATAAAGAAAGGCATGTCAGAATAAGCTGCTTATGGCAAATTCCTTCTAAAACACCCCAACTGTAACAGAAACAAATATTATATTGGCAATACTGTAATGTTTGCATTCACACACCAGCTGTTATTCTTTCCCACAGGGTCTTGTTTTTAAAGGCTGGCAAAGGACGTTCTGGTTAAATAACAGATCTAGTTTTATTTCCTATATCAGCTGTATCTATTTTTCCTTTTGGACCTAGGCTTTCTTTAAATTATTATTTTGGAGTGTACGTGCTAACACAGCATGGATACTCTTTCCAAAATATTTTTGACAAGCTGACAGTAAAGTATGGTATATCCTATAATTTAAACTGCACACTTCTATTATGGATTATTGGATTATCAGCTTTGTTATTGTTTTGTTTAACATTATGTAGGACAGAGTGTCTGAGTAATTGGGACACTAAATTTATGAATCGCTGTTAATGAGTAAACTTCCTCTTACTGAAATAGCGAAGCTATTCTTGGACTAGAAATGCTGGTAGACTTTTGGCCTCTAATAAATTGAACACACAAGAACACATGGGGTGTGTGTGGGGGGAACATTGCTTGGAGTGAGTTTTGAGCGGGAATTATTGAATTGTTTCTTGTTTGAAACATGATTGTGATTCATAAAGCAGTTTAGTTTTGACATTTTCCAATAATTTAATTACATTTTGAGAAAATGTGAAAATGCCTTATGTATTCCAGGAAACATCAACTTCCAGAAATACCTTTTGTAGCTAACGTAGCATACATATATGTGTGTGTATATATATATATGTACACATGTACTCAAACAGCATATATATAATATATAACAGTATAAACATTAGAACCTGAGGAGTATGGTTTATCAAAGTTTCGAATGCTCAGGACTCTGTTTAGAATCTATAGGTGCTCACGTGTGTTGTGTGATACATAACAACAGTGTGCATTTTAGAACAGGATGGGCAAGATAAGTATATATCAACTTCAATTGTTCAGGTAGTTTAGAGGAGAGCCTGTCAGTCTCTTAAATGCTAAAGCCATAGGAAATTCAAGTTTGGAGATGCTCCTTTTGTTTTTCTTGCAATCTAATTTATTTCTAGACAGCATTCCAGAGTATTTATGACGGTATGAAGGGATGCAGCATGTCTCATTTACTTTTGACTTTTATCCCTTTGCTTGCTTAAATTAAAGGGTTTATTGTGCATATATATGCTTCCTTTTAGTCCACCACACTATACTGTACAGTGCTGCTATAAGACTTGCAGCTGAATAAGACTTGAAAGGATGGTTCTGAAGTACTGAAGGTTGTTCATTGTTGTTTGAATTCTGGTGATTTTTAGTTATTTCCAGAACTTTCTTTGTTTTTCCTAACAAATACTCTGCGCTAAGTATGTTCAATTCATTCTACAATCTTGCTGTTTTTGTTTTTCTGTGGAATTACAGAAGGAGGAAGTGGAGAGATGCCCCAGTTCTTATGCTTGGAGAGACAAGCGTTCATAGGGAAAAAGACCACCAGCTAGAAAAGCCTTGCCAGTGTCAGCAAGTATGCAACTATGATTCATATAATAAGTATTGCTCTGGTAAGGTGTGCTCTATAGATAAATAATGTCCTTCCTTTCACATTAAACTTTAAGATGAGGCTTTGCAAGATGTAGAGGAATCCATGTAACTGAAATGAAGCCTAAGACTGAGCACTTCAGGTCATGACAGAAGGCTTTCTTCCAATTGCATGTCTCTGATATCCTCACTACCGCAGACTTCATTATCCATGCAGATACTGAAAAGCTTCTACCTTCCACCTCTTGATATTTTTCTTTGTCTATTTAATAAAAGCATTACAGGGCGGCATGGACAAGAAACACTTCTTTTAGATAGAAACTGCTCCTTCTCTTTCCTTAGCCCTTAATGAGAAACTGAATGCATGTAAACCAGAGTCAAAATACAGCTACTCCAATAATGGATATAATGGCAAAAATGGTCCTGCCATCCCTTTTGATTTTTGTTTAGGTTTAGTGAGGGAACGTCTTGAAAACTGCAGGAAAAAGAAACAAAGTTGGGAAGGAAGGTGCCTATTTCCAGGCTTTCGGTGCCTGTAGACATAGCAGGCTAGTGAGATGGGGTGAGCCCTCCTTGAAAAGGAAGCCCGCAATTTCTCGAGATAAGAAAACTGAGCAGTGAAACCATCCCACAGAACTCACCTTAACCTGCAATCTGAGGATGGGGAGGGGGTGAGGAAGAGATATTTACCCGGGCAAATTGAAGTGTAGCGTTCCCAGCCGCCACTAGTTGTCACTTTGCAACCAGTCGGGGTCGGTGTTTTCAGCACTGCGGTTAGCAAGATTGCAGTGCTAATTAAACGGAGTAACTCCTAAAGCTGCGGAAAGTCCCGAGCCCAGGGCTCCGCAATAGTCAGTCTCGGGCAACCAAGAGGAGATGAAAAGGCAGCTCGAGAAAGGCGGAATGCAGCCGGGCTAGTGCTGAAGCCATACCTGCGGGCTGTACCCTGAGCGGCCAGGGTGGTCCAGCCAGGCAGTGCCCGTTGCGCACACTCCTCCCGCAAATACAAGTCTTACCTGAAGAAAACGATCGTCTCCCACACGTAGACTCCGAGCGTGTTGACGTTGCACATTTTTCCAGCTCTCACCTCTTTTTGTACTCCGTGAGGGGTGGGCCAGTGGGGTTGGCCAATAAAGTAAACGGCACTTAGGGAGAAATGGTAAGGGAAGCGAGCCACCCTTCTCAAAAGCAGGCTGGGGCGGTGGGATGGCCGAGGCAGGCGCGCCCCGGTCGGCACTGGCTCGTCCCTCCTCTCCGTCTGTGCCTCCGCCACTGCGGTAGTGCTCGGGGCTGGAGGACCAGGCTTCTCGCACTGAAATCTCCCTTCAGCGGGATCCTGTTCCGGACATCAGGCTGGCGAGCGGAGGGAGGAGATGCAAGGGGTTTGCCATCGGTGTGGCGGGGGGAGGGGGGGGGGGTAGGGGACCCTCAAAAACCCAGAGCTTTAATTTCTGCTGCTAGCCAGGGTGTCTTCCTAATTAAATCCAAAGGAATTTGTCAGTGTGGAGCTGTGCTGCAGTCCTGGTTGTGTTGCTTTCCTGCCCGCCGTTTGGCTGCTGTTGATTCCTGCTTCCTGGGCTATTTTCCTTCTGAATAAGTTATTGCTGCTGTAGGGAAGGTGTCCCATTGCTCAGGGCTAGAGCGGAGGGGAGTGAAGGGGAAGTTTCTTGGGAAGCACTCCCATTGTGCTCAAAAAAAAAGTGACTCTGTGTCCTCCTAATGCATTTCATTTCCCCTCTGCCCTCTCTCCCCTGCTAGGACTCGCCAGATCTTGGGAGTTTCTTGCTGCATTAATTTACTAAACTAAAAAAAAAAAAAAGGGGAGGGGGAGGAGGAAGAGAAGGAAGGAGAGGGGAGGGGGTAACCCAGCCTCTCCAGCATCCCAAGGCCCTCCTCTTAGCAGTGCTCATTGGTCTTAGGACTGAAAAAAGTGCTGGAGGACGTGGTTGGATAAAGGCTTGCTGTTCAGCGGAGGCTGTTAACCTTTAAAGCGCTGATATATTTTTGACTTATTTCAGGTTTTTTAACCTAGGTCACTATCCTTTTAAGAAGTCTCTGAAATCGTCTCCCTTGACAGGGCAAGCGTAACATGCCTTAAGTCTCCACCTCTTGGAAGATTTGCTTGGCTAGCAGCTGCTATGAGCTGCTGTTGATTTATAAGGATTTTTTTTTTTTTAATTTTCGTTATATTTTACCTTTTTTCATTTGTTTTTGCAAAGAGATGTGGCAAACACCAGAGCTACCAAGGCTGGAGCAGGTAAGGAGCATTTAGTAGTTTACTATTGCAGCCCCAGCACCCTGGGCTCTTCCTGTGCTCACAGGGTGCTGAATGTGGAGGGCTCCGGGGAAGGAATGTGTTCTATAGCCACAGTGTTGGTTAGCAGGGCTCTTTCACTCTGCATGCCTTCTGACTGATTTTTGAAAACTGAAATAAAAATTTAACACTCCTAAATCATCTAGAGTTTCTTCATTCTGTCTTATGCCAGTGTAATGAGATTTTTCTTTCTTAAGTTGTGCGTTACTTACTTGTTACTTGCTCTGTAAAACTGCTACAGGACAAGCAAAAAGTCTCTTTTAACCCCTTTTTAGCTACTTTCCCACGTTCAGGTGAAGGGACTGCTTACCCCACCACTGCTTTAGCACCCCAGACTAGAAATTAGCTACGCCTTTCTTTTCAGTTTCAGCTGTATCTCAGAAGACCTTACTGTAGTGCCAAAAAACTGACCTGATGATTTTGATCCTGTATGTGTTTGTTTTAAAGTGATGTATTTGTTTAGCCTAGTGATGGGACAGAGCTATTGTTTGGGTTATGTCATTCAAAAGAAAAGGGAAAGAAAGACCTGCTTGGTTTCTAGCCATTTTTAGAGAAGGAAATTAATCTGACTTACTGCAGATACTGAGTCTCAGTGTCTTGCTAGATTAATAGCAGACTCTGATTTGAACTCGTGGTGACTCTTGGGGATGTGGCTCTGTGTAGCGTGTACTGCTTGCTGGATCCTCAGTGTACTTTCTGTCCTGATATTTATCTCCACGTGGATGAGCTGCTGTCACTGTGCTTTTCATTCCTCCCCACCTCCCCACCCCATGTGCTGGCAGCCCCGAGCCACGAATGCTAACAGGATCTGCGCAGCAGGAGGGAAATGGAGTTTCCTTGCATTTGTACCAAGAAAGGAGACCCAGGGGCAGGAGGTAGAATTGTCTCTTCTCATCTGTAGGTTAAATCTAGATGCTAGTTAACTCACTGGCTCTCTTAGAAATGAGCTTTGTGAGAGATCTGTCTCATGCAGTTTCTGCCTTGGTTCTGATGTCCTTTGTATCAAAGGAATTTGGATTTGTTTCCTTTTCTCTCCATGTGCTCTCTTTGCATTGCATTGCGTTTAGGAGAGGGGGGGTGGCTTTCTGTGTATGATCAAGGAAGCAGGTGGTTCTCTGTGTAATGCAATAACGCTTCACATTCCTTCTCACTGAAGGATCTCAGAACTGCTTTTCCAAGGGGAAGAATTTACCTGCTCTGCTGTTATCTCTTCTGTTGATGTCAGTGCCAGAGTTAGTGATTTGCATGGATTTGGAGACTTTTATCTGCTGTCTTTGAACACTTATTGTTACTGAGGAGAAATAAGGACATTACTTGTTTTGTTTGGCATGTGGGCAAACAGAGGCAACGAAGGCTTGCAGCAGTTACTCAGATCAGGTCTAGGCATCAAAGGCAATTTAGGTCAGGGAGTAACGCCAAAACAGATGTGAGTTAAAGGATGCAAGTTTTGCATGTCTTATCAGGAAAGCCCCGAAGGTACCTGCACCTTTTGCCTTCGGTGTTTTGCTGTAACTGGGAGAGGAACATGTCCTGGACAAAAGCTTTCTGTACCTGTTCCCCTTTTCTGTCTGGGTTCATTTGCCTGTGGACCATATGCTCTTGTGTCTCCACCTAGTGACAGGGTAGTTGTTGCCTGCTTGTCTTGGTACAGTGCCATGCATGTGCTTCTTGAATGTGTGGGACCTTGGTCAAGGGTGGCTCTGGGTCGCTGGAGTTCCCATCCTCTAATTTAGACTGACTAATTCAGGAAACAGCCACTCGGCTAAAAAACCAGCACTGAAACCCATCTACTGGGAGGTCCAAGGTACAATTACCTAGACTGGCTCTGGGCAATGCCTGGTTTTGATCTTCTTCTGCTCTTCCAGAAGGTAAGGGCAGGTAGACTGGAAACTTGGTCTGGAGAATATCTAATAACAACTGGAATGCAGTTTTCTCAACACTAGTACAAGCAGCCTTCATTATCAGGAACTGATTGGCAGCACTTTTCTCTCTTGATCTGTCTTTGCTTACTCTTAGATTCAGTTCTAGCACTTTGGTTTTACTGCAGTGTTTTCTGATTTTGGGAGGATTTACTTGCCAAGTCTCTTATTTTTCTGCAGACTCCAAATGGTTTTGAAAGACATTTATAAAATATCTTTCCCTGTTGGCACTTGTACAAGTAGCAGAATTCAAGATAATTCATCATAATGTCAAATGAAGCTCTAATAGTTAGAATTACCTATTGCATGTTCACTTTTGTTGCTGTTCTTATCAGTTTTAATTCGAAGTGGATGAGTGTGGGTAAAGTTGTCTGGGAAGCTTCTGCATCATTATTTTCTTTCCTGGCTGTGGCTGGGGGACTCTTTTCATTTATCTTCAGAGGCTATTTAAGATACCACAGAGGCAGTTATTGTGGGTAACTGCTACAGTAAGATGAAATGTCTTCTGGTGGCTCATTTAAGAGGATAGTGTTTATATCTAAACTTTTCAAAGCCAATCAACGTTTTAAATGTTGCAACAAACAGTAGCATGTCAATGGCCCAACAGCCAATAGATGTGACCGAATTCTGTGTAGTTCTAGGCTTACCTCAATGGAGTGGATGTCTCTGGGCCTGTAGGAGGTTTGTTGCCTGAGAAAGAGTAGATCTTGACTTTTTCTTATTGTAATAACAACTATCTTTTCTGCAGGTGAATTTGGTTGTTTTTGTCCTTCCTTATGGTGATTAGAATTTTTCAGTTTGCTGATGATTTCGGACTCTGTAATGAATCAGTGCATTTGGTAGCTTTTTGTTTCTCTCCACTTGTTCTTTAGTGTTTTGGATAGAAGGACAACTAGCTTCTTGTTGTTTCAGAGATAGCTGGCTTCTGATGCATGTTTTCTGTATGACATAGTAATCTTCTATTATATCGTGGATGGCTGTTCTGCAAATGGGGATAGTCAGAAATAAAATCAACTATGATCAAGAATGGGCTGTTGGTGGCTGATGGGGTGAGTTGTGGCTGTGGATGGAAATGGGGACAGGGACACAAAAAAGAATTCATGGAAAAGCCCTTTTGCCTTGGGTCCTTTGGGCATGAGAGCTAACAGAGTTAGAAATGAGACTTACCAGAGTGGTACTGTCTATGACCTTGAAGGTACATGCAAGCTACCACTGTGGCCGTTCAAGGAGAAGGAACTACTGTCATGTGTTGTTGGGAAGCGGGGGGAGGGAAGGTCATGGTACGCCCAGCACTGGAGCGTGAAACTGCCACAAGGTCCTCTGAAGACTAAAGGCATACAGAGTTAACAAAGGGATGAGATGAAGTCATGGTGATTAGGTCTAGTGGGGGCTATTCAACGCCATGTCAATTGCTCGCTTAGGAAATCCCATAGTTTTTGATTTCTGGAAATTGGAACGGTATAAGATGGGAAAGGATTGGTGTGCAGCTATTCCCTCTTTTGCTTCTACCTGAATACCTGTTATTGTCAGCCTCCATGGGCCTTCAGGGTGCTTTATATTTGCAATGGCAAGGATACCTGTTACTTAGGGTGTTCTGGTGCCTTACACCACCGAGTTGCACAAGAAATCATCTGTCAGCCTATATCCTTTCTCAGCAGCCCAGTTTCGGCCTCCGAGGCTTTCACAGAATTTCATTCTTCATAGAGGAGTAGGTGACAAATAAGCAACACTAGATTCTTATTTGCTATTAACTAATTACCAGTGAAAGGCTGAGTCTGACCCGAAAGGAGTTGCTAAAATGCATCTGAGAACCATGAGTCTCTGTTTCTTTCTCTCTGT